CCGCAAAATTTAGTTCTTAGTGCTGTAGACCAGCAATCTGGGCTGGACCTAGCTGGGCAATTCTGCTGACCTTGTCTGAGGTCACTCATACAGTTATAGCAATGGTACTAGGACCTCTGAATGATACAAGGGAAATTCTATAACTCCCAACCTTTTAGCTATCTGATACACTGAGTTCCTGTTCCCCAAAATCAAATGAACTACAGAGATTAAGAATAGGAAATATTTATTGAAGGAAAGATAGCTGTTGTCCGAGAGACAGGAGGGGACCCAGAAAGTGGATTGCCTGTGAGCTCACTTCTCAAAGAAAATCTTATAGAGCAAAATCACAAAGTGGATGCAAAATCATGAGGTGGGTACAAGGTGGGACAAAACTATGGGCAACCGGGAAGATTACAAATGAAGTCCTTTGGGTAGGACTGATCCAGTGGGGAAGCAAGTCACGTATCAAGTGTGGATGGAAAGAACAAGGACCTTTCCTAGAAGGGATGAGTCAGGAGGTCTTAGTCCCCCACCCAGATGGCTGAGGCCTATTTAGAATATGGATCATTAGTTATTTCCTGGGAGATATGTAAGTATAGTCATTCCATCTTTGTCCTGAGGCCTAGTCTTCAGTGAATGTGCCTCCACCCACAGTTGTAATGTGTTCTTATCTTCTGTACTGAATCCCTTGAGGGCCTACCTCGGTCTGACTGCCTATATTTCTACCTAACCTAGCTATCCATAATAATACAACTCTGGTAACAGCACACAGAGATGGGTTAAAGTGGTTTCATATGCTTGGCCACAACCATGGATTTAAGGCTCCAGTTCATTCAGTCTGGCAAGATCAAGAGGAAGTTGGACTCTCATTGTCTCAACTGAAAACCTGGAGACAGGCTGGAGATAAAATATTCCCCAGGATCAGGCTGGGCACAAGTCCATGCTGAGGTGGCAAGATGGAATAGGGGAGGGTACAGGTAGGGAAATAAAGGGTCAGATTTGCCAGGAGGCTCTTTAGACATTTGCATAAAGGAAAAAGTGGGGTGCTATTACTAGAAGAAATGGAAGCTGAGCAGCTAGAAAATAACAGATGTTCACTCTCTATCGCATTGCTGGGCAAACAGATAACAGTAATAGCTTACATTTATAAAATGCTTATTAGGTGCCTGGCACTGCTGTAAGTACTTTATGTATATTAATTCCTGCTAATCCTCTCAATGTAGGAGTAGATGCAGTTATTTTCCCACTTTACAAATAAAGAAGCTGAGGCACAACATGGCTAGGTTGGTTGTGGCCATGCATATATAAGTGACAGCAGAACTCCGCTAAGCTGGCTTGAGAGCTACAGCTTTTAATCATCAGTGTATAGGAATGGCTAAAGTTTTTTTTTTTTTTTTTTTTTTTTTAATCCTATGGTGGTGGTACGGTAATTCCCACTGCGTTAAAACCATACTTGGAATTTGAACTCTGAATTGTGATCTTTTCCCTGGGCTTACCATACATAGTATGATACTTTCTCAGATGCCAGGCAGTGGCAGTTCTTAGCCATGTAATCATGAGAGAAACAATACTGTACAGCAGTGGTGGTTCACCACCTCTGGCATACGCATGTCTTTTTTTTTTTTTTAAGTTAAAAGACATTAATGCAGAAATTGTTTTTTTCTGAACTTAAGGTTCAGGATTGAGGTTTAATCCAGGTGTTGGCACTTAGAGGTAAATCAGTTTTGGGTTCCAACTTAGGTACTTGTCTCCAAAAGGTTTGTCTGTTCTATAGTGTTGCCTTGAGATGCCAGGGTGTTCACTAGGTTCGGTATAATTAAATTGTTTTAATTTTATGGTATTTTCAGTTTACAATGTGTTTATCAGGCTGTAACTACAAGTTTAGGAGCATCTCAAGTCCAAATTGGTCACTGACACGCTGACAGCACAATTCTAATATGGTCCCCAAGACACCTTCCCATCATAGAATCCCCTCTGCCGAGAGGGGGTCAGACCTGGGAATGTGGCTGTGCGGTCACTCTCAATTAGGTGTGTCCCTAGAGCAATGGGGTCAATATTCTCCAGATTCCTGCACAGCTGGACACAGGGGTGTTCTCAGGCTGGCTTTGAAGAATTAGCTTCATGTTGTGAACTGGCCACGAGGCTCAGACTTCTGAGAACTACTGTGGACCAAGAACCAAAAAACAAAAAAGGAGCTCTGTCGTACAACCACAAGGAACTGAATTCTGTCTGAACTCGGAAGAGGACCCCTAGCTTGGGAGGAGAAAGCCTGTACTGCAGCTTGCTTTCATTCCTGGGCAGAAGGCCCAGCTAGGCTGCATCTCAACCTTTGACCTTTAGAACTGTGAGATAAGGGGTACTGCTGTAAGCTGCTAAATTTGGGATAATCTGCTACCAATGGCATCTCCTGCCTTCTCAGGCTCCCATCACATGAGTCCCTTCTCTTATATGCCTAGGACCCTTCATACCAGCTCTGCTCACTGGATTCTGCAAGCCCCACACTGTAGGTATGTGTGCGTGTGTGCTGTATTCACCAGGAGGGAACATGGTAGGGCTGCTGCCAAGTCACACTGGTGCTACCAGTGCTTGTAATCGTGGCTGATGCTTGTGCTCTGTAATCTGTTGTAGAATGAATGAAAACTATGTAATTCATCTGTAAAACTCTTGGCTTGTGTTCTGTTTCAAAGAGCAGTTTGGGGTAAACTTCAGCCTGAAACCCCAGTACAGTTGTCAGCTCAGACTTAATGTCATATGAAATTTTCCAATGGATCCCCTGCTCTGCTAGGGTAGCAGTACTTCACTTTCCAAACCCACATGGCACTTTCCGGGAGTCTCAGCTCTTTCTTTCCACTCTACATTTCAGTGTCTTCTCAAAGCATTATTTCTTTGATTTCCCACAGCTATCGAGGTAAACAAGCTGTTGTGTTTTGTTGTCTTCCCTGCATGCCCAGCACAGGAGGTACAACCGTACAAGTGTTGAACCACCAGTTCAAAGAAAGTATTCATCACACTGCCTGGCAGCCTAAGCATTCTACAGAAGACCCTGTTACTACATCTGTTTTCCACATGAGAAAACTCACCTGAGGATGCAGCCCCAGGTCTTATTCAAGTTCTGCAGGTTTTCTCCATTTCATCATGCAGCCTCTAGGGAGACAGGTATGCTGGGGTCATTCAGTCCTGCCTCCAGCTCTTACAGACAATGAACATCCCTTAAACATAACCCTTTCAAGAAAACTGATCCTCAAGCATTAGCATTGGAGTCAGGACTCCAACAAAGCCAGGAAGGCCCAAATTCCAAAGCAAACAAACGCTCCTCCCCAACCCTGGGGAGGGTGTTCACCATGTACAGCTAAAGATAGATCTCAGGCCCTCCCTAGGAACTTCCTGGCTTTTATTAGATTGTCATCCCAACTTTTCAAAGGGCTTTCTTTAGAAGCGTGGGTGTGAAACTGCTACCCTAATCACATCTTGTGGGAGGATCTCCGAACATCTGTATATTATTTGAAAATCTAGAATCCGGATGGGATGTTTGGGTGGGTGGGGACCATGTGGTGGTGGGATGGCACAGCAGGTACGCGATAGAAACACGTTAAGATCGCTTTTAAACAGAGGCAGAAAAAATTAGGCAAAAATTACAAATTGCTAATTACCTTGGCTCAATTACACATTTAATCAAAAGCCTACCCTCCCCCACTTTTAGAAGCAGCATTGAGAGGGGAAAATAGGGCGCTTAGAAATTTAAGCGATAAAGATCTTCTCACCGTGAGCCAAGGGACAAAACTCATTATAGATAAGCCTCGTCCTCCCATTTCCCCCGGAAGCCTCTCCGATTGCTAAAGCAGCAGCGGCTCCTGGGGTAGCTGCCAGGAAATCAGTGCTGCCCCGCGGCGCTGCTTTCCTACGGCTTGGGGTACGAAGCACGCTTCCTGCGCAGTCCCGGAGACCAGGCCGGGGCGCAGCCTCCTTCTCCCGAGAAGCCTCGAGTTGGCAAAAACTCCGCCACCGACCCTCTGTGGTTTCCGGAAACAGAGTGTGGGACGTGGAAAAGCTGGATTTTGCAAGCCCGGGGTCGATATCGTTCCCTTCCCCCTCTTCCCAGTCGTGGACTCAGCCAATGGAAGCAGGCAAGGGGGGAAATTAGGTCTCCACGCAATCGGAGTGCAAAGGCCGCTAGGCTTTGTTTGCAGGCAGGGGCCGCGCGGGGCTGGAGGCGCGAGCAGTGCGCCCCGCTGCGGCACTACCCTGGCTGTAAAACCCAGCCGGAAACTCCTGGCCCTAAAAAGTCAGCTGGCTGTCCGCTCCAGTCCCCAAACTCGGACCTGGGGCCCCCTTAAGTTCCGGATCCCAGAGCTATGAGGACCCGGGATCTCGCAAACCAGCGCGGGACGCCGTGTCTTTAAAAGGAGCTCACAAAGCGGGAGTCTGGCAAAGGCGCTAGGCCACAGGAGGCGGCCTCCCTCTCCCTTCTCCAAGATCTGGTCAGAATCACCCCTGGCTTCCGAAATGCCCCAGTAGATCCTGCAATCCCCGGGCCGCGCCTGTAGAACTGAACGGGAGGCGGGAACCAAGCGCGGCCGCTTTAAGAGCACGGAACGCGCGTTCCCGCCGCCGGCCGCCCCGGGCTGCGCGTCCCCGCCGCCGCGCGCCCCCTGTTCGCTCGCTCGCTCGCTCGCCGGCTTTAAAGTCTCTGCCAGGATCCATGCTCACATGTTACTTCCTGTATGGAGGCATGGCCAGTTTCCAGCCCCGCGCTCCCGGTTCCTCCCCAGCCTGCGCCGGAGCCACAACTTTCAGGAGCATGGACTGAAGGCGCCCTCGCTCCAGCGCCCCTCTGAAAGCCTTTGTGTTTCCCTCCGGCCGTTTCTATTCTGGGGGGCTCTTCGCCGCCCCCGCCTCTTCCCGCCCCTTCCCCGCTCACAAACATGCCTCCTTCCTTCCCGGGGCCCTGGAAGGAGCTGCCTGCCTGAAACCCGGAGACGCCGCGCGGCGCTGCGCTCAGCCCCGCCGCCTCCGCCGCCGCTGCCGCCTCCCGCCGGCCGGTTCTCCGGCTGCGCCGCGCCGCAGACTCAAGTTGGGGATCCTCGGCCGCCCGCCGCCGCCGCTGCCGCCCGCGCTCCCTGCCCGCCCCGAGCCCGGGCGCCGCCGCCAGCCGCCGACTTCTCACCCAGCCCGCTCGACTTGCTCCGGCGCGAGTGGAAAGCAGCGCCTCGCCGCCCAGAGGATCGTCCCTAGCGTGGCTTTGCATCCTTGGTCACTTTTTGAGGTTTTCCGGGGGGGCGCTCGGCTGCTTCCCGGCTTCCTGGGGGACTCGCCGCCGAGCGTGGGGGGCCTTGGAACGGGCGAGCCGGGAAAGCGCCCAGGCTCAGCGGAGGCTCGCACGGAAGCAAGAACTTATTCAACAAGTTTACCCTTTGCTTTTCTCTTTTCGATGTGCGTTTTCGGACATGCGGAGGTTACTGGAACCGTGTTGGTGGATTTTGTTCCTGAAAATCACCAGTTCCGTGCTCCATTATGTCGTGTGCTTCCCGGGTGAGTGCTGGCCGCCAGAGGACGCGGCCCTGGCCCGAGCGCGCGGGATCTGCGGAGTTGTCGCCGGGGTGCGGAGCTTGGGCGCCAGTCCGAGGGACCCCGGAGACGGTGGAGGGAGGCCCGGGGAGAAGAGTAGGATTTGCACCACTGGCTCCGGCCGTGTTTCGGAAGGCTGACTGCTGGGGAGGCTGGAAGCAGGGACTGGCCAGCGAGGAGGATTGGGGACTCTAGGGTTGGCCCCCTCTCTGATGTGGGGGGCCTGTGGGAGCTAGAGTCGGGAGAAAAGGGGACTTGTTTTGCTGATCTGGCGCGAACCGGGAAGGCTTGGGTTGTGAGGTGCTTGGGGAGACTGGGGCCGTGGGGAAGATGCTTCTGTGGGGCGCGAGGGGTCCGAGCTGCTCTCTCGCGGAGATTGAAGGAGCTTTGGGCCGAGGGTAGGGGTTGCCTTACAGCTGTCCGATTCTTTGGGAGGGTGAGTTGGGGTTGGAGGATCAAGGATGTGAGGAGCACCTAGCGTTCTGGTCTCATGGTTCGCCTCTCCTCACCCCAACTCCAGTCTGGGGCGCAGGCTACGCCTCGCTGCTGGAGCGAGGCAGCTCTCTGGGCGCGGGGGTCTGGGCGCAGTGGGAAGGCAGGGGGACCCGCGCCTCCTCTGTCCCGCGGCCCCTCCTCCGCCCCTCTGCTGGGCTGGGACGTCGGGGTGGCAGCGCAGGGGGGCGGGTCGGAGACCCGCAAGCTGGTTGCTGTTCGTGCTAGGGCGCATTTTTTTCCCCCAGTCTCGCGCGCCTTGCCTACCTTTCTTTGCCCTTTTGCAGGCTGTTCTCGGCTAGCCGACTCAGACCTGCTGCCTTCTGGCCAGGTTAAGACAGGAACAATATTGGCCTTTGATGACAGTAATAAATCACTGCACATAACAGTGTGTAGCTCTGCGACCCTCCACTCCCAGCCCTGAGCCGGCAGACAGCCTCCCCTCACACCAGAGGACTGAGGCCAGGCGCCTCCCTCTCCCCTTTCTCCTTCTCAGCGGCTCCCCTGCAGCTCCAACTCCCTTTAAGCTGTTGAGCTCTCTTTCTGGGGATAGAGGCCACGTCCTCTGCCCTAGCCAGAGAAAAGTGGGCGACTCTCTTGTCGTTCTCATGCTCCCTAAGGATTCAGAACATCCCGTTTTTCTGCCTTCTCATTCACCAGCTTCTGGACCCTTGGAGGTGGAGGTTATCTGAAGCTGGAGACAAGAACGTGCTCAGATGTTTTGTTTTCCCCTGTTTAATTGCTGTCTGTCGCTGGGCGGCCTGAGCGCCTGCTTTTGGTGCAGCGGGTCCCCCAGACCTATCATGCGCCCCACGGCAGGGCAGTTCTTGCTGCCCTCAGGGACACGCTCCAGGGAGACTGGCAGCGGGTGTCCCTTGGCAGGCTCAGGGTGGCCTCGAGGCGAAGGCACCGGCTTTTCTTCAGCACTCCCTTTTTCTCCCTGCGCATCCTCTGGTCCCTGGGGGCGCACGGAGATCCCACCATAGTCCAGAAGCCAGCTCAGAGGTCGAGGAGGATGTGTGGCCACACTCATCTGAGGCCTGGGGTTTGCTCCCCTGAGAAATACTGCCCCCTCTGCCCTGGGGACCATAGATCAGTGTTTGTACCAATCACGTCCCCTTGTTACACTCAGTGTCTTCACCACGACGTGAGGGCTGAGGGGGAGCAGGTGCACCCTGGTCGCGCTTCTAAAGGGGTACGGGGAGGCGGGGGACGGGGAGCAGCCTGGCAAAACTGAAATTTCCAATTCCATTTCTTGCCTTCCTCTGGGATGCAGCCCATGTTTCCACCGTGGTTTTCCTTTTCTGGATGTCTGAGGATGCTAGAAATCCAAAATGGGATCGTCAGGGATGCTGCTGTTGTGGGCCTTTGGACCATTTTCGTCCTTTTCTCTTTTTGCTTTGGTGCCCACGCTGCGAGGTAAATGGCTCTTACCCTCGACTAGAAGCCACGGGGTGTTGGAAAAGGAAGGGGCTCTTGGGTGGTGGGCGAGGGAAAACAGGGATCTTGGTTGGAAAAGCGTAGCCTCAGAGGAAGCCTTGGCTTTTGGAGGCAAGCAAAGTTAAAATGGCACAACTGCGGGAGAGGCTGGCTTTCCGGATTTCCGAGGGTGCCGCGACGCTGCTGGACCTCAGGGGGCGCCCCGGAGCTGCTAGTGAGCTCCTGCCACCTCCCGTGACCGGCCTCTGCCACTCACTCCACCGCGGGCCAGCTCGTTGGCTGGGGCCGTGACGCCCCTTGGAGCCGGGGCGGCCACGTTTTGGCGCGGCTGCTTCTGCGCAGCTCGGAACAGGGTGGGGGGCTGAGTTCATGGGGGAACTCCCACTTCTTGTCTGAGGTAGTCTTGGATGCTTTTAGGGGTTTGACTCTAGGGATAGACGTGCTTCTATTTTTGAGTTAGGATCTTTGTGAGGTCTTAACCCAAACCCTACATTACTTGTTTTGTTTGCTGTCAGAATCGAACCACCTTTTCAGTTGCTTTTGAATTCCCAGTGCCTGCTTGGGATCCAGGATCCCTTCCATCCTTATACATCTTTTTAAAAAAATTGTGATGGACAAAATATGAAGACAGAAGAATGTCATAAATTCTACGTTTATCTTCCTCTTCCCTGTCAAGGATTGCTAACTTGGTCTGTTTTCACTTCTCTCCTTGTGGCTTCCTCCTCAACACGTTATTTTCAGTTGTACTGGTGTTTCTCTATTTGCTCTTTGTGTCTCTAATCACTGAGAATTTAATTGCATCTGACATGATGTAAAATGTTACTTGAAAGAGTTAACCTTGTATTTTACATTCTCTATTTAGCACATGTTCTTTAAAAAAAATAAATGAATTTCTTGTCTCTTTGACCCTGAGTGTGAAACTTCTATTTAGTTCTGATGTTTCCTAGTGCTGATGTTTTGCATCGTGATTGGGTTACATCCTGGGGACCACCACTGGAAGGCTTCCCTAGGGGCTGGCTCAGCTTCCTGTCTGGATGTGTCAGAGTGGCAGTGTCCCTGACTTATGGTGGGTGAATCCAGACTCCTCCTCAGCTGCCTGTCTGTATTTTCGTGTGTATGTGTTAGTTCTGAAGAACATCCGTGGAGGCCCTCTGAGAAAAGGACAAACGTAGTATGTATTTGGAAGCCTGCAGTTTTGTTCTGGGACGTAGGCTGAGAGATCATACAAGATCACCTCTGCTCCAAGTGTCTTGTTTTACAATGATTTTTTCCCCATCCATTCTCTAAACTGAGTTCCTTTGACATGGTTATGGAATCAGATCTTTAATTTTTCTTCCAGACCGTGTTTATTGTTAGAGGATGAGGTTAGAAGATTAATGCAAATAGGCGTAGCAGGATCTTTTGAAAATAGAGGGAGTTGTGGTCTCCAGAGAAAGAAAGGTAAAAGGAAAGCTTTGCTGCCATTAAGGAATGAAGGATGCCTGCCATCCTGTAATGAAGTTTTAATAATGTCCCTTTTTGCAAGGAATACATGTTTATACTGCTGACTACATGAAGCTTGCCAGGGAATGATGACCATTTAATGCAGTGAGACAAAACAAAAAACCTTTCGGATCTGTTCCTATTCTGAAAAACTTCCAAGTTAGCACAGTGTAATAGGTTAGAGCCACGCACCAGTGGAAAGGAACTTTCCTGCCATTTATGAAGTGTAATTTAAAATGCCGTAGGATGATCATTGAGGAGACCATTCTACCTTCTTAACACTCCCTCTCGTTTTCCTGGCGGCTCCTCAACCAGAGAACTGTAGGTACTTACGTAGGTGAGCCTTACGTAAGTGAAGAGAGCTTAGGAAGCATTGCTGGTGGGTGACTGCTTTTACGCTTCCTGTTAGGTGGGTTTTAATTTGGATTTCCTCTCTGGTTTACTTGTAGCATGTGAGACAAAGCAGTGTCATTTCTAAATTTTTTTTTTTTTTGGTCCTGGGGATCGAACTCATGACCGTGCGCTTGCAAGGCAGGTGCTAATGCTGCTGAGCTAAATCCTCGGCCAACAGTGTCGTTTCTAAGCTGGACAAAAGTGGTTATAATGTTGTGCATTTCAGATAGGGAGGTTAAAAATTTTGATCAACACTTTGTTCCTGGGGCATGTTTCTTGTGGTGGCCGCATTTTATAACCCAGAGTTTATGGGAAAAATTAAAGACATCCAGAGTTCCCTCAGAACGGTGTGATGTCCTCCAGGAAGCTCTTAGTGTGTTAGGGGTACAGGGTGACCATGTTCAGATGATGTGAAGATGGTAAAAGGCCCACACATGTAATAATACCATGCAAGCCAAGGAAGAGGGCCTTGATCCTCAGTTCTCCACCCACCCTGGATGTAGGTCAAGCTCATCAGCACTGGTGAGGTGAGGGAGGGACTGGAGGAATTGTGAAATGAGCTGAGGAGAACTTGTTTTCATTTGGAATTCAGCAGTGGTCACTGAATTTGTCCCAGAACAGCATAGCCTGGGCACATACTAGGCCAAGGTTGGCTGGCATGCCTTAGGCCTTCAGCAAATATTTGTAAAGGATTAAAAGATCAGATGGCTCCATTTCCCTTGCTGAGAAATGGGAGTGACCATCTAAAGATCTGAGTGACCTGTCAAGATAAAATCCAGAACCATGGCAGTGGTGTGTTTACCTAGAAAATTAAATATCCAGTTATGAAGAGAAATTGAATTTGATAGTATCTTGCTTTGACTTAGTTTTGGTATTTTGTCTGTGGAGTTATTCATCCCTGTTTCCCTAGTGAATCACTTGAGGACTGGGAATGTAGCTCAATGGTAAAGATACCTAGTCAGGGACTCTGGGTTCCATTTCCAGCACTGAAAACAAAATATCTACTTCCCAAACAAGTATGTTCAGAAATGTGTGTTTGTTTCTCCACACTTATTTTCCCTGTAATTGTTCTTTCCCAAATGTTTAGAACCACAGGATTGTTAATCTCTTTAAAAGAATACCTCCCCTGCCCCCAAATGGGCCAGGCGTGTAACTCA